CCCTATGTGTATTAAGCTAGGGGAAAAAAATTAAATATGATTGGATAAATATTCTGAGACAATTGATAAGAGTATTCAGACAACAGAATTTTGTAAATCTGTGTCTCTTTCAGTTAACAATGTCCACACATCTATTGGTTTAAGAAAAAAGAATAATATGTTGGCTCTGAAGGTATAAAATACGGGAAAGAGCAGATATTCAGACGCTTTAGGATCTGTTTGCCCAATGATCATTTTCGGGAATATATCTATCTATACACTAGCTTTATCATTAGGAAGAATCTGCTCTCATGGGTGTAAGAGGACAGATGACTGCTTCAAAGAAAATAAAGCCCTCATATATTACTACTCCAGCAGAAAGAGAATTGCTTTTTCCTTATAGTGCCAGCAAGGGCTAAGGCTATAGCTCAGTGGAAGAGCACTTACCTAGCATCCATGATACCCTAGGCTCTATCCACAATATTGTCAGCAGAAAAGAAAGGAAAGAAGAATAGAAGCAGAAGTCATAGACTGAATTGGGTAGGGGGCTGGAGAGCTGGCTCAGAGGTTAAGAGCACTGACTGCTCTTCCAGAGATCCTGAGTTCAATTCCCAACAACCACATGGTGGCTCACAGCCATCTTTAATGAGATCTGTCGCCCTCTACTGGCATGCAGTCCTACATGCTGTATACATAATAAATACATCTTTAAAAAAGAAGAATGAATTGGATAAAAAAATAAAGAATGGAGAATTCCAGTCACCTCTGAAAAAAGAGGGCTAATTTACTTCTCTTTCATTCTTACCTGGCTTTTATAACTTGTTTCACTAAAAGAGTTATGGTTGGATTGTGAGATGGACCCCAGTTTGTTTGATCACTAGAATTTCAGAAGGTAGTGGCACTGTTTGGGAAGATTGTGTGCAATCTTTAAGAGCTGGGTCTTACTTGGAGGAAGTGTGCTTCTGGAGGCAGTCCTTGTGGTTTGTAATCCAGGCCCATTTCCTGTTCATTCTCAGCTTCCTGAGATGGAATAAGAGCAGCTACCTCCTTCACTTGCCACCATATCTACCCAGCTGCGATGGAGTATGAACCAAACTAAACACTTCCTTGCTTATGTTCCTTCTTGTCCAATTTTTTGTTGTTTCTGCTACAGCAATAAGAAAAGTAAGTAGTTGAGAAAATACAGCAGAAATATTGATTTTTTTTTTTGTTACATCATAAGAAGCCTTACAACGTTTACCTGAGTCTCCTGGAATGTGTGATGTAAAGAAATTCTCCTGGGACAGGTATGTGTTCTCAGGAATTATTACTCTTCATGTTTCAAATTTCTTATTTGTACAATGACAAAAATTTAATATTTGTTAATCGTTTCTTCATCACTTCCTGCTTAAACTATATTGATGTGTATCAGCTGGTATATGGTTGAGATTTGTCTTATTTTCTGGTTACAAACGATAACTTTTATAAGGTTTTATGGCTATAATAACTTTAGTAGTCAATTTTTATAATCTTATTACAAAGTAAATCACTAACCAAGTAAAATGCCTATAATTACAATTCTTTAAGTAAATAAATTTGATATTCTGTACTTTATGGGCAACATGGGTAAATTCAGTGCTAATATTTTCAGAAGTACTTTGTTATTCACACAGGTCTTTTCTGGGGGTTACAAATAGTTGCACATTGATGTTATTCCCAGAAACACTGCCTCCATAAGACAGAGAATTAAATTACTTCTTTAATCTAGCAACCCCAATGGGAGAATTGCAGGAAATACAACTCTCAGATTAAATAATAGTAAGAAAACTATTCTAAAGAGGAATGTATGGGAATCAAGTAGCCACCAACTTCATCAAATTGCATTTCTCAAATGAACGGAAACTTAAGGCAATCAGGAGCTTGAGTATAGCAACTAGCTTCCACACAGTGGCTGGCAATCTCTACAAAGTTCTAGATTCATTTTTCATACAGAGCTCAGAGACTCTACATCCTGGGCATGAGAAAAGGGAAGCTCTCTAGGCTCTTTCCTTGGAAACTCCTCCCAAGTAGGTTTTATTTTAAGGAACAATACTGTTTGTCACTGCTAGAAATTTGTCTCAGTGTTAGTCCCTCAGCTGAGGTGAAGTGGTCTCATACAAATGCAGAGGCAGGCCAGCTAGCTGTTCACTTCCTAAGATTTACAGATGACAAAGTCCTTTGCTGCACATTTGTATGCTACGTCACCCACCCTGTTGCTTCCTCGGGATCAAGAAGATGTCTCTGGGTCTGAATCATTAGGAGGGCAATTTCCAAAGGCCTTTGTGCAAGAAGAAATCAAAGACTGCAGAAAACGTGTTGTGGGTTATTGGCTAAACAGACCCCAGCCTTCCATGCAATAATGTTAGAAACAGGATTCAGTGAACAACCTGGCATTGAGAGTTTTGTCCCTAATTATCTGCTGAATTAAATCTAGATCCCAGGGAAAATTCTAAATACTTTAAGTACTTTATAAAGTAATACTTATATTAAAGAAATTATATATTTTTAAAGTAATACTTTCTAGTACATTGAACATATTAAATGCACTTGCACAGTAACGAAAATAGTTAGATTTTGTAAGCAGAGTCAGTGTTACTACTTTTGAATGAGAAATTTTATTATATTTTCTACAGCATTGTATTTTAATTTTGTAGGGAATTACAAAACTTTACTTTCCTTGTCTTTTAAAATATTTCATATTTTAATTATTAAATATTTAAATAATATTAATATTTTTGAGATTATAATAAATTCTATCATTTTCCTCCTTCCCTTTCCTTCTTCCAAACCCTACTATACACTCTTCTTCTTGATCTTTTTCAAATACATGGTCTCTCTCTCTCTCTCTCTCTCTCTCTCTCTCTATATATATATATATATATATATATATATATATTCCTAAATACATAACTGCAACATTCTCAATCCATAGTCCGTATGTTACCTGTATGTATATGCTTGTTAAGATGACCATTGGTATTGGACAACTAATTGGTCTGCTCTTCCCTGAAGAGACTATTTCTTTCTTTCTCAGCAACAAGTTTAATGGAGCAGATATGGTTACATTTATAACTGTGCCTTATAAAAGCAGCACTTGAGTAAGTCCGTCCTTCCTTATTTTGCCAAGAACAATGAACTTCTATATTCTCTGTAGAAATAGCAAATGGAGAAAATATGCCTAATACAAGTTAATAAGACAAATTTATGTTAAATCATGTAGGACTCTTTATCTTGTTTCTTGGAGCTTCTTCAACTAGAATCCTTATGATCTCAGGTCAGGGAAAAGAAAGACTTTTCCATACTATGGTATCATCATGCTAACTAATATAGTGACAGTGGCCACAATCAGTTTGTAGCTCAGGCCTTCTCCCCCATTTTTATTCCTTTGAGCCTCATGACTGGACACAAGCACAGAAAACCAAAGAGAGACATGGCAAAGCCTTCTGGAGAACAGGAGTACTTGCTAACCTGCTATGGTGCGTCTACATGCATTGGTTAGAAATGCAGTCTTAAACGTTAATCAGTTTCACACTAATAGCCAAATTAGAGACTGGGTTGGGTGGCACGCACTGTAATCCCAGCACAGGCAGAGAGATCACAGCAGGCTCACAGCTAGCCTGCGAGTTTGAGACCAGCAGGCACTATACAGCAAAATCTGCCTCAAGAAATAAAATAAAACAAACAACTCAGAGGATGAAGGTATTATCTATATTTGGCCACTATTAACAGCTATTTCCTATGCTTCAGGGGTGGGTTCTTTTTACCCCTCTCAGTAGAATACTTATAAAAAATTGTTCCAATGACTGTCTGAATTTGATTTTCTGTTTAATCATCCACTTTTCATTTCAATTTCTTCCAGAAGAGCTTTAAGGGAATAATAAAAGATACCTGTCCATTTCCCAGACACATATGCATACACATTTATAATGTGGTTACTGAAACTTCTAAAGTACTATAAAAATGAGGGAGAACACCATATATTTCACTTTGCTACATAGTTGTGAAGATTCCTTATGCTGGCTTTCTAATAATATGAGACAATTATCCACTTCCTTTAAATATTTTATTGGTAACAATAGCATGTTTATCAAGCTATTTTCAGGCATATAGAAAAAGTTAATAAAGCCTAGATCATGATTGGCCAAGTATTATAGATAGAAAAATGATATAATATTGTTCAGTCGTTTTGCTTGAACAAATGATATTATCTTGAAAAAAATTATTTTCCTTTCCCATATACAACTAGACATTGTATGGAGTTTCAGCAAAGACGGCGGGGGGGGGGCTTTATTTAGCAGGCATTCTTGAAATATTTTTAAAATAAAAATATGATATTTTCCTAGGTGACATAACATGATCTAAAAGAAATTCGTAAATTATATCCACATTTATCTATAAGGTCAACTGTGAGATTATCTCTAACCTCAACTTAAAGGCTTCATGTTCATGATTTGTTAATTGCATTAAAGATGTTCTTTTTAAAAGCCAAGAAACAAAATATTTGTTTCAGTAAACAATTTTATTTATAGTGGAATTCACAAAATTTTTATATTTTGAAATTATCCACAATGTACTATTTATTGTTTACATTGAAAAGAAGTATTCATTACAAGAAAAGATGAAAATATATACTTTTAGGCAGCATTGTTATATTTTCATTTGATACAATATGAACAAGAGATTAAAGAGAAGAGTAAAAGTTAAATATATTTTTAATTCCCTGTAATGGATTCCAAGCTACTAAAATGTTTTTGAAGACAAAAATAGAGATCCAAATACCAAAGTTATTTTTGATGAGCAATATTTACATTATATATGTATAAGTTAAGAATTGCTATAAGCAACTGTCAATTAATCGTCCCCATCAGAAAAATATTTTTGGAACCATGAATCTAAAACAAAAGGAAGCTAAAAATGAAGACAAAGAGAAAAACAGGAAGAGGAAAAGTCATCATTGCAAATATGACTTTCAGTTAAATACATTTTCTTATAAAGTGGCAAGATAATATTTACAACTGAAAAGCATATGTTATCTGTAACTTGTCTTCCCTTCTGACATGTGGGGCATCATTCCTCAGGTGTGATAGTTCATAATACATGATAGATAAGTCTGGAACTGGAGGGTCCTGGGGTTGCAGGCTGTGAATTCGTGCTGGCTGCTGGAGAGAGAGAAGCTGTGTCCTGGAGAGACAACTCGGTTCTCTCCGCAGACGCGATCCGATCCACGATGCTGGACAAACAATCCAAGCTGGATAAGGAGCTTTTATCTGCAGCATATGGTAACAGTACAAGGAGAAAAAAAATGGTTTAAAAAAAAAAATCCCCACACAGACGGGCTTGCTTACGCTGCCCTTTAAACTGTAGGTCAGCACCTTTGACAGCCTAGGTCAGGTGATCACAGAGAGCCTGGTGTAAAAATTTGCAGCAAATATCTAGCAATTCCTGGGGGTAAGGGTGTGGAGGGAAGACCCCCGGCAATATTTCAAGCAAAAGTGAGTGTGTTCATGTGGGTGTGCGTGAGTGCGTGCGTGTGCATGCATGTAGTGTGTCTCTCTGTCTGCCTGTTAGGGTAATCTGTAGCAGAAAACGTATGTTTACTCTGCCAAAGCCTCCCCGTGAGAGTCTTTCATTCCTTTTCCCAGGACGCCTTGGAAGGACAGACTCTACCATGACAGACTGAACTGTGAGACTCAACAGATCTTTCAATGTCTCGAAAGTTATCTGTTCTTACCATTTGATACGTCGGGACAGTAGACGCTGTCAAAGCTGCTGTTCTTTCGGGACCAGACAGGACTGCTGCATTCCGGCTGTAGCACAAAACACACAGAAATGTATTTTTAAGCCTTTGGCAAAAGACGCATAGACCTGGGGTGCGATAGTACCGGCCCCTAGCTCCGTCAACTGACTGCTCTTAGTTGCCTCCACAGCACTGATTTAGGAAGGGGCTGCTGTCTCCACATCGCCAGGGCACCAAGGTCAGTCTCTGTACTGGAAGAAGAGAAAAGCAGAGGGAAGACCATGGAATCTCGCAGTCATGTGCACTGGGTTAACCATGCAAAATGGATTGCAGTACAAGGAAGCCGTACTAATCCTGGGAGAGAACACTTTCCCAGGGCAAAAACACGTTAAAAGGTGGCCACACTGGAGCAGATAACCCTCGGGGGAAAAAATGAACCAACATTTTCTTCCTGCTTGACCTCAGAGCAGGGATTGGGACCAGGCTGGAGAGTCTAATTCTTCACTGAGTTATAAACTTGGTGATAGCTGTATGTTAGGGTCCACAGTGATGTATTTTGGAAAAAGCAGAGAAAACAATCATTTAAATTAACCTGGGATACATGACAGTCTTTTCCTACCATGTACATACATACAGAACCCGCTGGGAAGTTAAAGTAAAATCTTGTACAGCAGTTTTTTCTTTGCATCGTTCTGTGAACACATCTCTTAAAGCAACGGTCCCTCTGTACCTGGTTTAGAGGCGATACGAGGACTTTTCCCATAGACCAAGGTAAGAGAGAGAGCCGGTCTTGGAGTTGTGGCTTACCATTCCATCCGAGCAGTTGGAGGTGGGGCTGGTGGGCTCTGAGCAGCTCTGTCCGGGCAAGCTGTAATAGTTCTCCACCTGCTCCCTCAGCAGCTCCTGCAGGCTCTCGATGTAGCGGATGGCATTCCTGAGGATCTCCACTTTGGGGAGCCTCTGGTTGGGGTTGGTCGTGGTGCACCTCTTGAGCGTTTCGAAGGCTTGGTTGACCTTCTTCAGGCGTCTGCGCTCGCGCATGGTGGCGGCCTTGCGCCGATCCATGGTGGTGGACTTCCTCTTGCAGGCTTTGCAGGCCCACACGAGGCAGTGGCCAGCCTGGTGGTGGCCAGTAGGTGCCCGCACGTGCTCATCATCATCGGAGCCCTGCAGCTCAGCTTGGTGCGCTCCGAAGGCAGCCACTCTTGGCTCAAACGGGTCCCCAAACTCACCCTCAGGGGAAGGGATACAGGAGCTTTCATAGAAGTACTCAGAAGGTGAGAACTGGCAGGCATCCATCATGTCCATTCTTCAGAGAGGCAGGTGGGATACCTAGATTCAGCAGAGAGGGGAGAAACCGGACGCCTTGGCTGCTGCGGGCAAGCAAATCCCAGGCGGAGCTCAGGGTTTGGGATCGTGTCTCTGTAATTAACAAGGACAGACGCCTGTTGGCCAGGGTCGGTCGGTCGGTGGCTGAGGTTGGGGCTCTTTATATATTCTTGGGGGATGGGAAGGGAGGCTGGTCCCTGTAGCTGGGCATTATTAGCATATCCCACCACAACCCCCACGGGGTTGTCTGGGCAAACCTCTGCCTTGCTTCTAGAGACAATTTGGTGTTTACTGGGCCCTTTGACACTAATGATTTTACTGCATCCCAACCTGCTCAGTGGCCTTCTGGATATTCTAAACCTGGGGATCATGGGGTGGTGGGGGTGGCTTCTTGAAATCGATCGCATTTTAACACAATCAGCAGCAGCATCGTAATAAGGCATTAAACTCCGGCATTTCCATCTGACGCCAAAAGGGAACCTAGTGTCTGGAAGAATCGCCTCTTTACTCTTAGGGGCTGAGGGGGAGCTTGTTTCCCAGTTTCTTGAACTTTACCTGAAGAGATTTTTGTCAGTTTGTACCCTGGTAATAGCGTTAAAAAAAAAAAAATTAAAGTGGCATTTTCATTTATGGAGTGAACCTAGAGTGTCCTGTTTCAAAATCTGTTTGATTAAAGGACTCAAGGAGCTCTGATGAGTTTCATGGGTTTGACCTTCGCTGGAGCTTCCTTTTCAGGCCTGGCTCCGTTAGAGGTCATATTTTTTTTTTTCTGCTGCTGTAAAAAGGAAATGCCCTCAGGTGGACCAGGTGACCCTCCAGCATCCCTCCCCTCCTAGCTTCCTTCCTTCCTTCCTTCCTTCCTCACACACTGGCCTGTTCCCTCTCCCTCTGTGCCAGACCTAAGTACCAGCACAGAGAGATTCCCACGCCTGTGGCTGGGCTACGCCGAAGTTCAGTTTCTCACAGTTACACTCCCTTTCCAGCGTGGAGTGGAGTTTCCTTTCTCCGGAGTTTTCTGCTCCGCCCTATCCATTCTACAGACTAAACAGCGAGCCAGGCTTCAGGGTCGCTAATTTTCTGCTTTCAGGCCAGCTAACACCGTTACAGATGCATCCCAGCTGCCGGCACAGAGATCCTGGGCTAGTGTAAAATTTCCAGCTCCTGTAACAGAGTGACTTCACACACTTTGGCGACAAAAGCCTTTCAGAAATGCAATTTGCAGACAGGTCTTTTTTGAAACTTTGGTGGACCAAAGAAGACAAAAGGGGGGAGGTACCATTAAAAAAAAAAAAAAAGAGCTGATTCCTCCGTTTTTTACAATGTCTCCTCCACTGTTAACTCACTTTCAGATCACTTGCGAGGGAGATGCTGTTCATATTCAAGAAACACCATTACTTAAGGTCGACACAAGTTCTTTGGGGCTTTGGACCTCGATTTGTAGCCCCATTGTAAAAAATACGGACTGTTCACTGTTCAGAGTGTCATCCAATTAAGTAAGTGCTGTGGCTCCAAAGTG